TTTAAAAAAAAAAAAAAGAAGTGCCCTCCCACCCACACTGTGGCACCGACCCGGCGCTGGAGTCTCCTGCCCCACAGAACAGCACAGAGGGGCTGGGTGAATAGCAAGTGCCTGCCAGCAGGCTCCCTACCATTGCCTTCCAGGCCCGGGAGTGTCCACAGAGACGGACAATGGGCATCTCAATGTTATTTGAGGAGAACCTGTATCACCACAAGGACCCCAGGCTTGGGGATGAGGCCTCAGTGTGCTAGAGACCCACACTGTGGGGGTCACAGAGAACCCCCACGGGGAACACTGCCCACCCTGTGTGTGTGTCCACAGAGTGGAGGCTGGGAATCCCCCCACTGGGCAGAACTTGGGGCATGACTGAGATTTTACTCAGGAGCAAGCATGGCCCCAGGCTGCAAAGACACTCACCCATTTAATTTCTACCACCTGCCTACGGGATGGTGTGGTGTAACCCAAGAATATATCCTACAGGTGTCCTGGTCTTTCCTGAGTGCTGGAAGGCCTTTTGTTGTTCATAAGAAGCTGATTTCACACCTGAGTTTATGCTAAAGAGGGCATGTAGAGAGGGTGTCACCAGAAAGACCAAGTGGCTAGAGGGTTGGCGCTTGCAGCCCCCCCACAGACTGCGATGGGGATGGAGCTGGGGTCTATAAAAACTCATGAACAAGGAGATTCAGAAAGCTCCCCTGTGGCAAGCATGGCGTGCCCAGAGGGGGCACGGGAGCTCTGCGCATTCACCCCATTCCCTGCCCTAAACTTCTCTGCCACCTGGCTCTGCCTGAGTTGTAGCCCCTATAGTAAACTGGTATTCGTGAGTAGTTGTTTCTCCGAGTTCTGTGAGCCATTCTAGCAAATGATCAAACCTGCTTTGGGGGTGGTAGAACCCCTGATTTACAGTTCGTTGGTCAGAAGCACAGGTGGTCTGAGGGCGTGACTGGCCTCGAAATGGGGATAGGCCTGTGGACTTGAACTTTGTAGGATCTGGCTCTGGTGCTAGGTGGGCGGTGTCAGGGGCGACCGGAGTTGTTAGACACTCAGTCAGGGTCCAGAGAATTGGAGAACGGGTTGTTGGTGTTGGGTCTGTTGTTATCGGTCCTATTTTACCAAAGATTGACGTAGGCGCACGCGTTGCGAGATGGCAAGTGGTCACTCGTGGACTGGGTGTTCCACAAGGATGAATGAGAAGTGGACATCACTGGGACTCAGAGACCCAGAACTCCGGGTCTGACACTGCTTCTGGATGTGACGGCAAGAGGTGAATCTTTGTCTCCCCCTGGGGTGGGGTTGGGGGTCGAAGGGCTTATGTCTGCCACTGGGGGCGGCCAAATCATGCTAAGCAGAGGCATCTTTGGACCGGACTCTACGGGGTAAGCAGGAGCTGGACAGTCAAGGGGCAGACTGTCCCTGGTACCCACGTTGCCTGCCCAGACCACACCCACAGAGAGCCATCTCTCCAGCCGGCAGCTTAACCCTGTGCTCCTACCCCTCCCTGGCCATGTCTCACTGGGCCAAGGCTGGACATCTAACCGGTCAGCTGAGTCGAAGTCTGCCCTTGAGAATGTGAGCTAACCCCGGATGATCAAGGCAAGAGAAAGCGGCCGATGGAGACGTGCAGAGAACGGCTGAGATTAGAGACCCCAAGGCCCGAGAAGGACGGAGCCGCAGGACTTCCTACCCCAATTCCGTATAATAAAACCAAGGGGATCTCTGTATCTTACAACCAGAAGTTCCAAAAGCAGAGAAAGGGACGGAGAAGGCAAGTGCAGAGGTTTGGGAGGGAGAGGCAAGATGGCATTAGCAGTCGCGGGAAGGATGGCGGGGGGGGGGGACCGTGACCCCGGCTGTGGGGTCCGGAAGGTGGCGGCGTGGCAGGGTTCTAGCAGACGCGACAGGGAGACTCGAGAGGCCAGGGGGGAAGGAGGAGGTGCTAGTGCGGGAGGAGAACAGAGGAAGGAGGAGGACAGAGGAAGCACCGTGGAGGGACCAGAGCCAGGGAAACGGAGGAGGAAGTAGGACACAGGGGCAGGGGCAGGGCGGGGAGGGCCCCCTGGGCACCCCGCCCGACGGTACCTGTTGGAGACTGCTGCTCCAGACACAGTGTTGCCAGCCCCCGTCCGCACCCTTGGAGTCCAGGCAGGAGGTGCAGTTGGGCAGGAGGTGACAGGGAGTGGGGCAGGGGAGCGGGGGTGACGACTCCACCGGCATTGGGGACACGTTCAGCAGAGAGTGGCTGAAGCATGTCCAGTCGTAGGTGGGCTGCACTGAGAGGATGCGGCGGGTCTCCCCTGGGGTCAAGGGCCCAGGAATCAGAGCCTGGGCCTGGCCTCGGCCCCCCCTGCTCCACCCCTTCCGGGGGCCCCCAGGCCATCCTAGTGGGGAGCCGCACCTGTCCTCTTGAACTGCCTGGTCCACATGCACTTGCCCTCCCGGGTGCACTGCTCGCAGTCCGCAGCCCCGCACACGGCCTCCGAGCAGTTCCCGGCCCAGAACACCTCTCGCTGGTTGATGCGACAGTCATTCTCCGAGGTGCAGGACCCGTTCCGCCCGATGCAGGCGCCCTCAGGGCAGTTGGTACACCACTTACAGCGGGGGGCGGATGCCTGGGCGGGGGAAACATGGGCTCAGTGGGGTTCTCAAGGTCCCTGGCACCCCCTCCCACCCGAGCCAGCTCTTCCCACCCAATCCCAGCTGAAGTTCCTGAGACACCCCCCCACCCCCGCTTCACCTCTCCATCTCCAGGCTGCAGGGTCCGGGGGTGGCGGGCCAGGCACTCACTGCAGGTCCGGAGACGTCGACATTCCTCGGGGGAGCGAGGCATGGGGGAGCATGGGGGGGCCCCACAGCCCAGCCTGGGGAGGCAGGAGGCCTGGCTCAGCACACCCAGCCAGACCCCGTCCCTCCTCCACCCACCCTTGCCTCTTCCTGGTGCCTCCTGGACATCGTCCTGCGGGCCCCCCGACGTGTATCCTGGACTGGTCTCAGCCCAGGCCTCCCCAACCTGCTCCTCCCCCACCCCACCTGGCCATGGTCTCACGTCCCCCTGTCACTCCAGCCAGAGATACTGGACAATATCCCACACTCCCCTGTCCCTCCAGCCACCAAGGCGTCCCCCACTCTCCACCCCTGCAGCCCTTTGCCCAGTTCAGGCCTCTTCTTCTCCAGCCTCCTCCTCCTCGGCCTCCTCCCAGGTCTCCACCCAGGTCTCCACCCACAGCCTCCCCTCACCGCTGGCTCCTTCCCAACAGCCCCAGGGCTTTCTGCCCAGGCCAGCCCCTGCCCTCCCCTGCTCAAACCTTCCCTGGCTCCCCATCACCCACAGTGGAGGTTCATAATCCCTTACCCAAAGTCCTTGAAGGCACACATTTCAGAACTTTCCAGATTTTAGAAAAGCAGTGGGTGTACCCACTGTTACATAACACTCCTAGCAGAATCTGGGGGAGCACCCCATAAATCAAACCCTTTACTAATTCAGTAGCAAACACAGTGACACATTTAATAGGACAAGCCAAGGCCATTAGTAACCTCATACGGGTTCGGGATAACGATGTAGCCAAAAGAGTTTGTGCTGAACCAAGGACAGCCCTTTCAGCTTCCTGAGATGTCTGGCCTCCCGAACAACAGAAGCCCAGCGCCACAGCCAGGCACTGGGAGCCCTTCCTGAGCTGCCCCCACCACCGCTCCAGCCTCACGTTCCCCCAGCATAGACGGTCCCTAAAATACACTGGGCACAGCCCCGCTTCCGAACCTTCGCTGGTCTAAATTCTAGTGGTCATTTGGGAGCCAGTTCGGACCCAGCTCCTCCAGGAAACATTCTCAGATGCCACCCCAGCCCACAAGCAGGGCTTCTCACTCAAGGGTCCCCCAGCCTGACCTTGCCTGTGATACAGCGCCCGTTTTCCCATGTGAGCCGGTGTCCTGTTCGGACAGTACCCTCCTGAGCGCCCCCCCGCCCCCCGCAAGCCTGGCCTAGCACAGAACCCCCTTCGGAGGGCACCAGTACCATCCACCCATGCGCCGTTCGGTCACCACGGTTACCTATGGGCCTGGTCCCAGGACAAGCAGGCCCCATGGCACCAGGTGCAGGCCCCAGACTGGTTACAAGCTTCGGGTGAGGGTAGCAGGCGGCAGGGGTCAGGGGGCAGGGTCAGGGCCAGCAGGCGGCCCAGGGCCACTCCCCCGAAGCCCCCTGAGAGGTACAGGCGGCCCCCTACCGCTGCCACAGCATGGGCCACGGACTCCTCCATCGGGGCCCCCACAGAGGCTGGGCCTGGGGAAAGACGGAACATTCAGAGAGAGACTCAGGGACGAGAGCCCCACGAAGAGCCGGTCAGAGAGGGACGCCGAGCGGAGCGACGGGCTAAGGACGGCAGAGACGGACATGGACAGAGAAGATACATAAGGACAGACAGGGCAAGAGAAACGACAAGGACAGCAAGACAAAAGAGAGGGAGAGATAAACAGAAAAAGGAAGCAGAAAGAATGCAGTAAGGATGGAGACAAAGCTTCTGGAACCAGAGGTGCTGGTCGCACAACCTCCTGAAGGTACCAGGTGTCACTGCATCGTTAATATCACAACCGTTCATTTTCTTATGTGAATTTCGCCTCAGGTTTTTTAAATCCTCCAGAAAGGGGGTCGCCTGGGTGGCTCAGTCAGTTAAGCGTCTGCCTTCAGCTCAGGTCATGATCCCAGGGTCCTGGGATTGAGTCCCGCATCGGGCTCCTGGCTCAGTGGGGAGTCTGCTTCTCCCTCTGTCCCTCGCCTACTTGTGCTCTTTCTCTTTCAAATAAATAAATAAATAAAATCTGAAAAATTAAAAATTAAAAAAATCCTCCAGGAGGTAGATGAACCATGAGAGACGATGGACTCTGAAAAACTAACAGGGTTCTAGAGGGAGGGGGGTGGGAGGATGGGTTAGCCTGGTGGTGGGTATTGAGGAGGGCACATTCTGCATGGAGCACTGGGTGTTATGCACAAACAATGAATCATGGAACACTTCATCTAAAACTAATGATGTAATGTATGGGGATTAACATAAGAATAAAAAAAAAAATCCCTCAAGATGTACAGGTCCCCATGGATGTTGTGACAGGCAGAACTGTGTACTTCCCAAATTCATATGTTGGAGTCCCAAAAAAGAGAAAGTCACAGAGTAGCAAACAAGGTAAGGGCAAAAGGGAATTAGAGACAGAGAGTAGGAGAGAGAAGCAAAAGGAAAAGGCCCAGAGGCATACACAGTCACACTGGGTAGCGAAACAGAAAGACAAGGTCCAAGCCCCCTTCCGGCCTCCGACCAGCAGACTAGAAAGAAACACCCCCACGTATAATAGTGCTGTCTCTAGAGAGCAGGATCATGGGGGATTTTTGCCTTCTTATTTCACCAATTACATACAATGAATATTATTACTTTTATAATCAGGACAAAAAATAAACTTCCTAGGAAAAGAAAAGGAAGGCGGGCATCTCCATGGGTGTTCAGGTAACAGAGGGGAAAGCAGCTTTGCCGGAGGGCCTGAAGGGGCCTGAGGGAGTCCGGATGAGTGAGCGTCCCAGGACAGGCCAGGGCTCCTGTAGGATGTCCCCAGGGCCCCCAAGGGGGAGCACTGGACTTACGGGTCAGGTCGGGCAGGAGCCAGGCGTTGCAGTTGACCTGGTAGAGCAGAACGTCACTGCTGAACTCATCGGGGTCCGAGCGCCCCCCAAGGACCACCATGGTGTCCCCCAGCAGGGCTGAGGCGTGGAAAAGCCGGGGGCGGGGCTGTTGGGGAGACACCCGCAGGATGGCCGGTCAGAGCCCACACTCCTCCGCTCGCCTCTCATCCCACCCGCCACCCTGCACCCTCCCACACCTCAGCCCCCACCAGCCCTACCCAACCCTAATCTCCCTCAAATCTCAGCTCCTCCGTCCAGGAGACCTCCCTCATTCTTCAAAGCAGCCCCCAGGGCCAGCTCCCTTCCCCGAACTTCCAGAACCCCCATGCCCTGTGCTGTTCCCCAGGAACCTGGCCCAGGCTGCTTGAGATGAATCCCACATTTCTCGTGTGACCTGGCCAGCTTGGCTGGGGGCAACCTGGGGGTGAGGCTCGGGCCTCCCTTACAGTCCGGTCCCCAAAAGGGCTTGGAGATATGTTTGCAGATGGAAAACTCAATCGTCTCTAACCAGCACATCCGGAGTCTATGTACTCCCATCCGCTATCTCCTTTGGCCTTGAAGGCGGGAGGCCCAAGGTGCCTCAGTCCCAGGTTTTACAGATGGGGAGGCTGGGAAGTTGAGGGCCACGCCAAGAGTGGGGCAGAGCTGGGGCAGAACCCAGGCCTCTGACCTCCTTGTCTAGGATGCTTCCCTCCAAGCAAGCGATGAAAGAAAGGGAGATGTGTGGGGTGCCACAGTTGAGTCTAGGGGACTAGAAAGGATGGGACTAGGAGTCCAGGGTTGAGCCAGTCCCTGGGGTGCTGGGTAAGGGGGGACCCCCTCCTTCCTGCCCCCTGGATCTAACTGCATACACCTCTTTTCCTGACCTTTGCCCCCTGGGAAGGGGCCAGCAGGCTCCAGGTGCGGTCAGGACAGTGCAGGGAGTAGAGCTCAGAGGACGGGGCTGCCAGCTCGACGTGGAAGCGGAAACCCCCAAACACGTAGAGGGAGTCAGTGGCCTCATGGTACACGGCAGAATGACCGTAGAGACCTGGGGGGCACGAGGGAGCAGACGCTGGGGGGAGGGCTGGTGATTAGGAGCGCCCTCCCACCTTCCTGGGCTCCCCTTCTTGGGACCACGCCACCAAGAAGCTCTTGTCAACCCCTCCCTCCCGCTTCGGTTCCAAAAGACCACCTCTAGTGACTCCGGGCAAGAGAAGAGGGGGAGTCAGAGTGACCTGCATGTCCTGGGGGGACAGTGAGCAAAGAATGGAGAAGGGGAATGCCTGAGGGGCTGGAACCCAGGACCTGGGAGAGGAATGCAATGACCCACTGTCACTGGGCAGGAGGTGGGTAGCCTTTCATGGGAAACTGAACTTCTCAAGAGCGGGTCTGCGAATCTGGGTGGGCGCTGGGGGCAAAACAGGACATAACAAGGTCTAAGGGCAGTGACCACAGGGTAACAGCAGTGGATAGAGAGCCTCCACAAAGCCCCGGATGGCCAGGAGTCCAAGGTGCTGTCCCCGACTTATCCCCAGCCCTACCGGTGGGGGGTGTCCCGCTCTGGGCTCCGGACACCCAGGTGCCAGTCACCAGCTGGTACTCGAACAGCTGCTGGTTGAAGCCATTCTCGGGGGAGTACCCGCCCACCAGGAGCAGAGACAGGCCTCGGCGGGCAGTGAGGGTGTGACCAGCCACTGCCGGGAGCTCCACGGTCTGGGGCACCTGGGGGATAAAGGGCAGAGGTTAGCAGGGAGCTGGAGATTAGGGGTCATCTTCCGGGTAGAAGCAAGACTCGGAACTCTGGACACTCCCCTTGAACCAATAAAGAGGTAGTGAGCTGCCCGGGGTTGGTCAGACCCCAAACTTCCAACTTGCCACGGTCCCAGCAGGTGTGTGCGAGGCCCCTTGCCATTTCTGCCTGCTCAGTGTCACCGATGCGGGTGGGGGCAGCCTGGTGTTCCTCTGGGAAGCCCTGGCCCTTGTGCTCTCACTCTGGCCGTGTGGGGCTGACTGTACCCGCCCACAGTGCGCGTGACCCAGCCAAGTGGACAAGACTATCCCACCCACTCGGCCACAGGCTGGCTCGGGACTACAGTGTGACGCAGGATGGCTGAGATTCAACTCTGAGACTCGCACTGGAGCCCCGGTGGGGAGGGGGGGAAGCTGCATCCCCTGGGGGTGAAACGGGCAGGAGGCACTCTGGCCGGCCCTGCTAGACATGGATCATGGGGGCGGGGGAAGGGAGAGGGGCTCACCTTCTCCTGCCGCCACTGCAGGGTGGTGAGGTTGAGGACCCAAAAGTCGCGAGTGACACCCCCAGCTGTGAGTCCCCCCAGAAGGTACATGGCACCACGGCCAGCGGACACGTAGGCAGCCGCGTGGAAGGAGCGGGGTGAGGGGCCTGGGCCCCCATCCTCGGCTCCCGCCAGCATCTGTGTCCACCGCCGCTCGCTCACTGAGTACCTGGCACCAAGGTGCAGAAAAGGAGTCTCACCATACAGGCATCCCAGCATGACCTGGGGTGACCCCCCCTGCACAGTTATCCCCAAATCCCCTAGGGTGCCCCTCCTTTGACAACCATCTTACCATCCCCCCCTGGGGTAGCACCACCCAAATAAGTATCCCAGACCCCGAGGTGAGCCTCCTGTGACAAGTGTCCCAGTAATTTGTGGGTGTCCTTCACCTATGGAGGTTTTTGTTGTTGTTTTTAAAATATTTTAATTTATTTATTTGAGAAAGAGAGAGCGCATGAGAGAATCAGAGTGCACGAGCAGGGGGAGGGGCAGAGAGAGAGGGAGAAGCAGACTCCCTGCTGAGCAGGGGACGCGGGGCTCGATCCCAGGACCCCGGGACCATGACCTGAGCCGAAGGGAGACGCTTAACCGACTGAGCCACCCAGGCATCTCTAGAGGGTTTTTTACACCAGTTGTTTGTTTTTTTTTTTTAACCCCCGAAGGGACTCTTATGTGACACACATCTCAGCATCCCCTGAGGTCGTGACCTCCTCTCATTCAGGCATCCCACCTCCGGGACAGTCCTCACCTGTACAGGTTCCCCAGCAGCCCCTGGGGCAGGCCGAGGCCCCCAAACATCCACAAGGTGGCATCAGGTCCCTCCACCATGGTGTGCCCCAGGCGGTGTAGGAATCGGCTGGCAGTGTCCTGGGGGCGGAGGTGGGGACACGAAGGGTCAGGCTGGGAGTCGGGGCTGAGGGCTGGTCCCAGGAATGCAGGGAGGGGAGAACCATCCAGGAGGCGGGCTGCGTGGCACCTCCGTGGACAGAGTGGCATCCACGACTCACAGCTGAGAGGCGGCTGTCCATGAGGGTCTCCCAGACCAGCTGCCCGCCGTCCAGCTTCGTGGCGCAGTCAGGGCCCCCGAAGCCCTCGGCACAGATGCACACACCGAGGCTCTGGGGAACAGCAGAAGGAGGCTCAGGGGAAGCCAGATCACCACCCCTGTCCCATGTGGCTTGCCCGTCCTCCCCCATACCTGGTTACAAGTCCCTGCCCCGCTGTGAGCGTTACAGTTCTCAGGACACAGAGCCATGCGGCAGTGGGGGCCAGCCCAGCCCTGGGGACATCGGCAGAGTCCAGCACCTGCAGCTCCATCCTGGGGCACACACTCCTGGGGGACCGGGCAGCTCCCTGGGCCCCCCGACCCGCAGCGGGCAGAGCCCACTGAAGCATTGAAGCCCCATGACGAGGAGCCGTTGGCCTCCCAGTGCAGCACCAGCAGCCCTGTGAGGGGAGAGGGCCAGAGGCTCGTGGCCGGGCGGGGCTCCAGGACATTACTCTACCCCCCAGGGTTAGAGAAAATCCGGTGTCACCGGGCAGGGCGACAAGGCACTCCTTATCATTTGTGATCACTCACTGCCATGCTTCACTGTTCTCCTGCACGCTGCACACCCTCCCCCGCACCCAACCCGTCAAATTCCGATCCCAGTCCCATCACTGGCAAGCTCCAAACCCCGCACAGCTCCCTACAGCTCTGACATAAAACCGGGTCTCCTTACAAAATCGATTAGTGGGGGGGGAGGGGGGCAGGGATTAGACATAGGATATGTAAACAGCGCCTCAATAAAATTATGTTAAAGCGGGGGGGTGTGGGGAGCGGCCGTAGGCCCTCTGACCTCAAGGCCTCCCACTGTCCCAGCCCTAAGCACTCCAGCACCGCAGGCCCCCTTCAGGCCTCTCGGGGCCTGGGTACCTGCTGCTCTTCTGGCCTGGAGAAGTCGCCCTCCTCCCTCGCCCACACCGTCCCCTTCACGCCTCCAGTGAAATCTCACCTCGGCGAAGAAGCCCTCCCCAACTCCCCAGACAGGCCAGGTGCCCGCTCCTTCCCACTTCCTCTGCCCCTTGGCAAAGGTGTCACTATTCTGACTAGAATTTGTTCAGTGCTGTTTGTACCCCTGCCCCCGAAGGCAGGGCCTGCGTGCCCTTGCTCCCTGCTGGATCCCCAGCACCCAGCTCAGGCGTGGCTCACTGAAGGTGCTCGGTACACAACGGCTAAGTGAAATGAAATCGAGGGCCCCTCGGTTCTAGCTGCTCCCTGGGGAAGGGTTTGGGCTTGCGTGCAATCCCCAGCCGGCCAACTACCCCTCCGCCCTCTCTCTCCCAGCCTTGGAGATCTTGCCGATCTACGATGGTTCAAACTAGGGTACTTCAACTGCCACAGGTGACAAATTATTTTTAGTGCTACTCGATCAGACGGAGCTGGTTCCCAAACTCTCAGCACTGCCGATGTAACGGGGCCTTGGCTGTGGGGTGTCCAGTGCACTGCAGAATGCAGAACGGCATCTCTGGCCCCCACCCGTGACATGCCAGGGCCACTCAGGACAGAGCCAGAGGGCCCAAGGGGCAAAATCCCCCCTGGTGGAGAACCACCAGGCTGAGGAGATGGGCAGGGGGCCTCCACACCAGCCACATTCCGTGTCCCCCAGAGACTTGTCCCACTCGGCCCTGCTCTCCAGAGAGGCCGCTCAGCCAGGGCAAACCTCTCTATCAGCCCCTCAACTGAGGAAACAGAGGCCCAGATGTGACAAGGGACGGCATCAGCTGGCACGTCAGGGGCAGAGTCGGGCTGGGTCTTCAGCCCCCCCACCGGGGGGGGAGGGACAGCGTAAGGGGCAAGGGCTACAAAGCCTCGGCCAGGGTCCCACTTTGCCCAGTCCCCGTACCAGACAGGGCCTGCACAGTGAGGGGCCTGTCCCGCCGCTGGCCGCAGAACGCAGCGATGAGGCTGCGGTCCGACTGGACGACACCAGTGTCCAGGAAGCGCGGGAATCCATCAAAGGCCAGGACGTAGCTCAGCTGGAGGCAGAGGATGCAGAGTGAAGGATCAGGGGACGGATGGTAAGGGTGAGAAAGAGGGACGCGGGAGGTCTGGGAGGAGGAGGAGCTCAAGAGGGGAGGGCAATCTGAGCCCGGGAGACTCTGGACAAACTGTGGCCAGCACTCCCCTCCTGTGCGCACAGCAGACATGGCTCATGGATCAGGCACTCTTGCACAGAGCCTCTTTCTCAATACACAGCTCCTGGCGGCCACTACCTACTGGTCGGAGCTGGCGCACAAAGTACAAATATTAACCATGCCTGGGCCGGGGAGTGGGGAGCCCAGGAAATAGGAGGTGATCGGGGGAATGAGAGGGTCTGGGGGGCTTCGGAATGAAGGTCTGCAGTCTGAGGAAGAGAGCTTAGGGTTTGAAGGATAAAGGAACAGGAACGTGGGGTCAGGGTCTGTCTGCGGATTCAGATTGGGTTGGGGGAGACACGGGCCTGAACTCTGGCGCCCTGGGTACTCACCGTGCAGGGGGTGCTGCTGTCGGGGGAGAAGGTGAGGGTGAGCGGGGGACAGAGGGTCCCGGGGGCACAGGGCTGTAGCACCTCGGTGGCCGAGACAACCCACACACAGTAGGACAGGCCCGGCCCGGCTCTCGCTGCCCCACCCCCTGGAGGCAGCGGCCCCCCCACCCGGCGTGAGCCCAGCGCCACTGAGGACACGTTGGTGAGGAGGGTGCGGCCCCCACACTCCCGGAAACAGGAGCCACTGGCCCTGGGGAGATGAAGGAGAGAGCAAGAGCGTCAGACCGGGTCCCACCCCATCCCATCCGGTCCCTAACCCGCCCTGGCCCTCCCGGTGGGCCCCTGGCTCACCGGGGGTCCCCGTAGTAGCCAGGGGAGCAGAGCTGGCAGTGGGCACCTTCGGTGTGGTCCTGGCAGAAGCAGAGCCCGCTGAGGTTGTCACAGTGGCCACGGCGCGGGTCCCCGTGCCCGTTGCACTGGCAGGGCCGGCAGCCGCCCGAGCCGGTGGCGTTGCCAAAGCTGCCGGGCCGGCACCGCTCGCAGCGCTCCCCCCACGTCCAGTCTGTGGAGGCCGCGGCAGAGAGGACACGGAGTCAGGGCAAGGGCAGGAGGAGCCCCACAACGCTCGGCCGATCCCTGGCCCCACGTAGCTGCTCCAGAGGCAGGTGACCGGGGGAACCCAGACCGGGGAGGCACTGCGAGCCCCCGCCAAAGAGATGGGTGGCACTGAAACCGTCTGGGGTCGGGAGCGGGCCATGGGGCAGGGACCCCTAGCTGGGCGAGGGGACCCAGACGCCCAGGCAGAGGAAGGACACTGGAGCCCCGGGGAGGGTCCCTGAGGCCGCTCACCCTGGCACTCATCACAGAAGCCAGGCCCCCGCCTGCGGCAGTGGCTGTGGAAGTTGCAGCCACAGTCCCGGGAGCAGCGGGGCGCCGGGGGTCCCGGGGCGGGCGTGGGCGGAGGCAGGTCAGACGTCCAGCCCAGGTCACACACACAGGTGAAGTCGGGGGGACCGCTGCACACACCGTGGCCACAGTCTTCCAGGCACCTGAGGGCGTGGCGGGCGTGGGGAAGGGCTGGGCGGGGCCCGGAGCCCCCAAGGCACACCCCCCCTCCCGCCCCAGTCCACCGCCTTGTCTCCACGGCAACGCCATCCCCGGCCACTGCCGGTTCCTCCTCCTGGACTCTGTGGGCGGCCCTGTCTCCAAGGTAACCCCCCCACACGTGGTAACTCCTGTCTCTATGGTAACCACATATCACCACTGGTGATCTGCTCTCTGTGAAAACCCGTTTCAACTGGGTCCTCCTCCGTCTCCGTGGCAACACTGAGGACTATGGTCCGCAGTCCAGGGGTGACCCGTCTCCACAGTAACTAGTGTTACCTGGGGACCCTGTCACTCTAACGAGGGCCTACCCTGCAAGGTAAAAACCCCAGGCTCACTGGGGATGCTGGTTCCCTGGGAGGCACCCAGCACTGCCACGGCTTCCTCCCTCCATCTCCACGTGCCCCAGCCCCGGGCGACATCTCCATGGAAACCGAGCCCCGCTCACGTGCGGTTGCAGTACGTGATGCCATCGCCCTGGTAGCCTCGCTGGCAATGACACTCGTAGCTGAGGGGTGTGTTCAGGCAGGTTGCCCGCAGGTGGCACCGCGCCAGGCCCAGGCGACACTCATCCACGTCGGGACAGCGGGCATAAGCCCAGCGGGCGGGGAGGGCCACAGACAGCCCCAGGCCCTCCCCCACCCACAGGGAGCAGTTCCCCCCGCCCAGCGGCCCCGAGAAGTCCCCCTGGAGGCACCTGGGGGGGGGGCGGGAGAGGGAGGAGGGGTGGAAGGGGGAGATGATAAAGAAACGAGAGACCAAGATGGAAACAGGGAGAGAGGGGCCGATGGGAAAGAGAGAAATGGAAATATGAACACGGAGAAAAGGACACAAGGAGAAATGAAGGAGAGACAGAAACCCAGCGGAGTCAGACCGGAGACACACAGGGAAATGGTGAAGGGAGAGAGAAGGAAAGACGGAAACAGAAAGACAAGAAGCAAAGATGAGGAGAAACCAGTCACAGAGAGCAGGAGAGGGTGGAGATGGAGGAGAGAGGGAAACCGAGAGGGGAGGGGAAGAAACACAGAGAGACAATCCGCCGTTAGAATCAGGGCAGGCAAGAGCCCCCCACCCCGTCCGCCCTCTGGCCTCGCGGCCCCGCGGTCCCGGCCACACCGGCCCAGCGTGGGGTTGTCCTCATTGCCACACCAGCCGCACTCGTGGCTCTGCAGACACTCGTGGCAGGTCAGGAAGCGGTCACAGCTCCGGCACCGAGGCTCCGAGTGCACGCTGCAGGGCGACAGGCGTGGGTGGGGGTGTCCGTGCCCTCCCCTCTGTGGGCCCCGCCCCGATGCCCAGACCGCACCTGTCGTCCCAGCCGCGGCAGCCCCCGTGCGGGTAGCGGGCCAGGTAGGCTGCGAACAGGAAGCAGGTGTGCGTGGACTGGCACCAGGCACACTGGCTGGAGTTGGCCAGGCAGTCGTCACAGGTCAGGCGCCTGGGGGCGGGGAGCAGGGACAGGGTCAGACCGTGCAGCGGCCCCCACACGCCCCCTACATCCCCTCCCCCTGGGCCCAGGTGGCTCACTGGCTGCAGAGCGGGGGACACTCGTCTGGGCTCTTCAGGGCACCCCGACTCCGGCCCCGCCGGCTGCACGCGGCGTCCCCTTTGCGGCTGGAGCTCTGATGCCACTCGCAGAAGGGGTCCTGGGGAATTAAAGAAGGAGTAAGAGCCCAGATGGCCCTCTACCTTGGGCTCCACAAGTAGCTGCCTCCCTCACCTGCCCCACCCCATAGACCACCCCTCCAAGCCCCCCTCCCTCCCCAGCCGCCTGCCTCTCTAGACTTTCTCCTCCAGCCAATGGCATCCATGGGATCCGCCTTCCCGGCACCCACTCCCTTTTGGGGCAAAAGAACCCCTATGTCTGGTCCTGTTGGGACTGGTGGATCCTTAAGCTCCAGAGGTGGGCAAGGGGTCACACTCTCTACCCCCTAGCCTTGCAGATGGCTCTGAGAGTCAGCACAAGACCCAACCAGAGCCAACGAAATGTGCTTCTGAGACTTCTGTTGAACTGGGGGTGAGAGTGGGGTGGGGACAGAAAGGTGCTCTCTTCCACTTGGGACTTGGGGGGCTGCGTGGGGGGGGGATGAAAGTCTGGAGCCCTCGTGGCTCCCTTGCCACTCCCAAGGAATGAACCTCCAGGGAAGCGAGGGTATGGGATGGAGGGGGGTGGACGCCTGATCACACGGTCTAAACAACAAGCCTAAAGACCTCTTCCCGGGGCTCCAGTGCCGGAGCCCATAAATGCCCCTCTGGTAAAGAGGTACTAAGTTGGGTTTTCTGGCCCTTACAACAGGGAGAGTCCTGACTGCCAGGAGCCCTGCTCCCCACCTGGCTCTCACCTGCAGATCAAGGACAATAGCCCCACCTGTCTCCCCCCGCTGCACCCAGGGGACCTCTCGGATGCCCGTGCCAACTCCAGGGGGCCTCCCCCTTTCCCAGTTGCCTGATCTGGCTGCCTTGATCTTGAGACCTCCCCTCTGTGGCTTGGCAGGCACCTGGGTGCAGGCGTGACAGTCACGGTGTTCCTCACAGAGCGGGCAGAGGGCAGGCACCAGCACCAGCAGGGACCCGCCAGCCCCGTCGGCCCCGCAGTGGGCCCCGCCCTGGCGCAGGTGGCAGGTGGCGCTGGTCAGGCACCAGCCGCAGCCCTGGTCGGCCAAGCAGCCCAGGCAGGAGGAGTAGGAGGAGCAAGCTGAAGAGCGGTAGGGCTCCAGGAAGAAGAAGGAGATCTCCTGGGGGAAGGGCTCACATAAGGGCCGGGGGTCCACAAGCCAAGTCCCAGGGCAGGAGTCGAGGTTGGGGGTAGGGGTCAGGGTTTGGCGCTAGAGACGTGTTTGGAGACAAGGTTAAGAACCCAAGTATGTGGAAAGCTGGGATTTAGGAGGAGCAGACAAAAGGGGATCGGGGCTTGAGAGCATCTAGAGATGAGAGAGCTAAATACAGAGGGCAGAAGTCAGGCCAGGGCAGGAGAAGTCAGAGATGTAGGCAGGGGGTCAGAATGTGAGATCAGGTCAGAGTCTGGGGGTCAGAGGTTGGGGTCTGGAGGGCTCAAGGTAAGGCCGAGAGTTCAAGTGTTGGGGGAGTAGGGAGAGGTCAGGTCAAGAGAGTTAGAATTTGTGGTCTGGGGTTCGGAAAGCTCCGGGGATCTGAGGCCAGGGCCTGGGTACTCACGCTGCCACCTGGCACGCCAGTCCGGTCCCACAGCAGTGTAAGTTCGCTGTGCCCAGGGCCCGCCGAGCCATTGAGCTGGCCCTGGATCTCCACCGCATACTTGTGGCCCCGGCCAGGCAGTGGGAAGAGGCGAGCAGACCCTGGGCGCTGTAGCCGCCTTGTCTCCTTCTCCTGCTGAGCCACCCAGCGCCCCACCTCCTCCTGGGTAAGGGTGAAGGACAGACAGGGGCCTCAGAACGTTCCAGCCGCCCCAACCCCTGAAACCTCCAAGAGCCCCAAACCCACCTAGCACTGACCTCTGTCCTGGGAAGAGGAAGAGGGCCTCAGAGTTCCTTAGACCCCAAGAACCTCTGAGAACCCTCAACAACACCCCCACCACCACCCACCTCCTCCTCAGGGGGAGTTTGACTTGGTAACTCAGACCCTCCCCACCTTCTTCAAAATTCCCCCCCCAATTCCATTCATAACTGAAAACCCCAGGACCCTCCCTCCACTAAGGATATATCCCGTGCCTCTGATTTCTCCCCAGTCCTCCCCCCACACCATACACCCCAGCCGCCACATTTATAACTAACAGCCCCCTGTGTGTTCAGGCACCCTCACCATGTTCTCTGTGTCAGGGCCCCGGGCCATCCGGGCTAGGACATGTAGACGCTGGGCCCGGGCCCACACAGCTACATCCTCAGCCCCCGCCCCTCCGGGCCCTCCAGGCAGTAGTGGGTGGATGAAGCCACGGTAGACCAGGGACACATCGGTCTCTGGGCTGGGTGTCAGAGTGATGGTCGTACTGCGGACAATCAAGACCTGGGCAAGCCACGGAGAAGGGTATGCGTGAGCGCTTCTGTGCATGGGCCCACAGTGGCCCCACCCCTCAGGCAAACACCAGAGCTAGAAAAGATCAGGTACCCCAACCTCCTTCCCTCTTTCATCAAACGAGCACCGAGGCCAGGGGCACTCTGCATTGGGACTCCAACAATAGACAGCAGGGTCCCGGTCCCCACTCAGCACCTCTCTCATGAAACTCCAGGACCCCAGACCTTTTGGGAACTTCTTCTCTGACATCCCACCCTTCCACTTTCCACCGAAGCCTTAAGAGTCCACACTTTTTAAAAAAGTCCCTGAACTACAGGGTTCGGAGAAATTTCCAAGTTAGTGAACATAGCCCCGTGCCAGCAGGGGTCACATCCCAGCTCTTCCGGGACAGAGCTCCTTTGCTCACGACCCTTCTGGACCACACCCTATGTAACGTGTCCTCGGTTATATAATAAACCAATACACGAGTTTAAAAAAAAAAAAAAGAGAGAAAGAGTCCAGATCCAACATTCAAAGTGACAGACATGCTACATGATTTATTAGCGTGTGTTTTGTAATTGCAAAAGAATGGAATAACCCAAGTATTCGTCAACGGGAGACTACCTAAATAAACTATAGCACCACGGCCCTAGAATCTAAATGGAATATTACAAAACTGTAAAAAAAAAAAAAAAAAGAGAGAGGGTATTCCCTAAGTTCTAAGAAGCTTGCTAGGATATATTAAGAAATAAAAGTGGCAGTGTAGTGTGACTGGAATATTACTTTTTGTGCAAGAAAGAAAAATAATTAAATGTCACATTTACATGTGTGTGAATGGGTAGACCTGCAAGGATACGTAAGAAATCCCAATTGAGGGGCGCCTGGGTGGCTTAGTCGTTAAGCGTCTGCCTTTGGCTCAGGTCATGGTCCCAGGGTCCTGGGATTGAGCCCCACATCGGGCTCCCTGCTCCGCGGGAAGCCTGCTTCTCCC